GGTCTATATGGAGTGTTTGGGAGTAGTTGCACACATAACGATTCCAAAATTACCTTCTATGCCTTTTTAACTTGCAATATGCCCTCATAATTTTAAAAAAATTGCATCCCTATATTTAGGTATATAGTTATATAACCACTAAATAGATTATCCCATTTGAAATTTGCTCATTTGTAGTTAGGGGCTGTTTGGTTGTTGTTGGTAAAGTTGTGTATTTATGACACAACTTGGAAAGTTGTTGTCCACCTCATCAATTTTACTTTTATACTTTTCTTTGTTTGTTTTTGATTCCATTGGAATCATAAAACACTTGTTTGGTTTGCAAAATAAAACTTTAATTGTTTGTTTGGAAAGTGTAAAAAGTGGTCCCTACTCAAATGATCATATTGGTTGAAATTATTTTTTATTATTTTTTTCTAACTTCAATGTTAGCTTTCTCCTAAAATCATGTCTTTTTTTCATGAAACCACTTTACAAGCCACATCAGCATATGAAATCACTTTACACTATTTTCACAACTACAAACAAACAATTAAAAGTGATGAAAGCTGACATTGGGACCCACTTTTTTACACTTTACATCCTTTTACATGGTAAAAACATACAACCAAACAGCCCCTTAGCCCATTTCCATTTAGTAGCCCATTTGAATTTTCAAACAATCATCTCAAATATGCTGGCCTGCTTGAATTTAGCTCATTAGCAATTAAAAAACACAAAGTTCAAAACATATCTTTTCCATTAGTTATATTTCTGGATCAACCACTAGCGGCGGGCTCCTTTGATATAATATGAGAGCAACATAATTATAAATCTCACTAGCCACCAATTTACAATTGATTATTTTAAGTTACATCGATGCGTGAGTCCATGTTTCTGACCATGAAAAGGGATGCTCAACCTACGATACATGTTAGAATAAAATTATATTTTCCTCTACCCTCTCTTCCTCGTCGCAAGACCAGAACTTGTATTGCTTTCAGGGGGAACTTCCCGAAAGTACGACGGGCATTAATTGTTAAACTCTTCGTAGTTTAGAGGGGTTTCCTAAATTTTTAAACCTCATGACGTACGGCTTGTGCTGATGACGAAAGTTCAAGGGGTTTTAGTGACATGTACCCTTGCAAGCGTCTTGGGATCTTGCAGTGGTTACTCAAATGAAATCGGTTGGGCCGCATGGGAGCAAACCAAGGTCGTTTCAGAAGGCAGTAGAAGTCAGCCTGCTTTCATCTTGATTGCCCTAACTGACTCCCAGTTTAGGTTGCAGTGCATTTCTTATCAGAATCCGCACCGTGTGGATTCTGATAGACACACAGCTGGGAGTTTATTTAGGAAAGTGTCCCTTCCCTTTTGTAAATGAGAGGTTCAGAATGTCCTGCGTGGTGCGGGGCGTTTTGAGAGGTTCAGAATGTTCTGCGTGGTGCGGGGCATTTCTGAGAGACACATAGTTGGGCTAAAGTTTGATCAAACCATTATGAATTCTTTCTTTTTTTTACATCGTAATAACTACAAAGTTTTTTTTTTCTTTTTGGGGGGTGGGGGGGGGGGGGGGGTAATCACTTTTTCAAGTTCAAGCTTCTATATTCTATTTATATATATTGTAACAAGTTACAAACTGTTGTATTTTTTATGATAAGAAGCCAAACAACATCGACGAAAGTGTTCAGGCTTTGTATAATACGTTAGCAAAGAAGATCAATGACAATATAAATTAACTCATCTTGTTTACTCTGTTTCTTTTTTTTTTCTAATTAATAAAATATTTGGACATATTGATCCTGTTAATTAAAGGAAACAAAAGTGAACCCATCTTATCGTCGGTACTACATTACATGTTTTTATGCGTTTCAATAATGCATGCCTTTTGTTCTTTTGCCCTTTAACGGTAAAAAGCCTTCTTCTCCAGGTCTTCTGCAAATACATCAAAGGTTTCATTTATAAACTACTGCTGCACTCACCCAATTATTATAAGGGGTTTTTGCATTTAATTTGAGATAATTAATTAATCTCTTGGCCAAGTCTCATGTCGCAATCCTAGTTTAAACCTAGTTTTGTTTCTCCCTTTCAACAGTCATAAAAGTGTAGCGCAATAATTGCACGATTTCATTCACTATGTTGATTAATCATGCTAAATAGTCATCAATCATGCTTTGGCGAAGAGAGCAACTCAAGTTATACACAATGTATAGCTACAATCAGAAAGAAGATATGTTGAGAGCGTTCAATTTCACGATCACAGAACGTGTATATATGATTGAGAAACATGATTGTTGCATGCTTGGACTACTTCACTAGCCAATCCGAAGACGTACGGAATACCACATAAAACATTTAATTGCAACATGTAACTAAACAATACAGTTTTATTAAAGGACGTAATAATATAATGAAGGCTCAGCATGACTAAGGATTATTATTACTATACAAGTCTAACGTCCCCGACTATAGCGTTACAGGCGAATACGCCACTTTGTGACATACAAGCTTAATAATCATTAGAAAATTAGCACGAGTATCATTGTAGTAATATGGTAAGTATGCCGATTGAAACAGAAACTCAAATTATTAGCAAATTATTAATATAAGTACTCATGATGTATCAGTTTTTCCATCTCAAATTCTTACCGATTGAAACAGAAACTCAATTATTAGCAAAACCAAGACAGCTTAGTACAGTTTGACATGATACGAGACATAATATTATGAGTTATCTAAAGCTGGCAATCATAAGGCACTCATCATTTCTCCAACACTTTCATTTAAATATAAAAAAAAATGAGAGATTTTCAAAAGAGACCATTTCATAAAAGTATTTCTCATTTTTGACCCCGTAAAGAAGTATTCACCATTTTCGACCTAGGTTCAACCACGTCAGCTAAAACTAGGACGGTTTTTCAAAAAGCCTGCCGAAATCTCTATGGGATTGGAAATCCCGTATAGCTAATATGTTGTCGAGAGTTAATTTACAAAGTGTTTGGGATTCGGAATCCTGTAAACTTCGGACACTTACGAATTCCACGGGATTATAAACCCGTAGACATTGGTTCATGGCAAAATGTATCAGTTAAAACCACGGAACTAGTAGTCGTGTGGTTTTAACAGAGACATTTTTCCCTGAACCAAAGTATACGGGATGGGGAATCCCTTATACCTCCATTTTATATAATAGTTCCCACAGTACCCCCCACCCACCTAGTTTACCCATCCCACTACTACTCATACTCCATCTCCAAGTACTTCCATCCATCATCTCTCGTTGTCGTTAACCACCCATTGGCCGTGATCTCGTCGGAGTTCACCGAACTCAATTTCTAGGGTTTGTACATAAATTTAGGTAATTTCTTCAAACTTTTATGATTTCTTTTCAAAAATTTCTCAAATTGTCATCCATTTCATCGCCAATAGCTTGTTTTATGTTACAATTTGGTAGGGATGACTACTTTGACCCAAACCCATTTGCCTACTCATACCCACCCACTAAATGACCCATCTAAACTCACCCATTTAGTTTAGTCATACTCCCTTTAAAAGTACAAGTTTGAGAAAATCTTTCCTTTGTCAATATTACCCTTTACTTTTTTAAATATTTTATTAAAATCTTAATCTATCATAATCATAATTATATCCTATCTTAATCCCACGTGAATTACCTATAGCATCTTAATCCCTCGTGAATTACCTACATCTCAATAACTTTAAAAAAATAAGAGTTACATGAAATATTACAACAATAACAAAAAAACCTAAAAAGTTTTAAAAATTACAAAATACTCTCTAATATTCAAAATTACACAAAACACCATCACATATCAAAATTTAAGCAAACATGAAATTTGGAAATTAACAGTATCTTCTAAAGAATTTAAAATTTGTAATTGACACCCTCAACATTTGAAAATTATAGAAACATCCTTAAAAGTTTAAATTAAAAAAATACCCTCAAAACTTGTAAAGAAAAAAGATAAATTCTAGGGATTACCATCAGACTTGAACATAGATCCCCTTTCCCCAGTGTAAAAAGCTCTTTGTCGCATCAATTAAGCTTCAGGGATGATAGAGAAAGATAATACCATGTAAACACCAATGAGTTTAAATGATAATAAAAATATAAAGAAATAATAATTATCTAACATACTATAATACATGAATTATTATCAAAAAACTAAAAAGTTTTAAAAATTACATAAAACACCCTCAATAGTTAAAAATTACACAAAACATCCCAACTTTTCAAAAATTTAAAACAATAAACATAAATCTAAAAATTTGCAGTAGCCCCCTAAATTTTACAATTTATAATTAATACCCTCAAAGTTTCAAAAATTATGAAACACCCTCAAAAGTTTACAATTACAAAAAAATCATAAAATTTGAAAAATAAATTGATAGATTAAATTTTAATATCATTGTCTAAATAAAATTAATTACATATAATTTTACTCATAGGTTGAAGTATCAAAAATACAGAGGTAGCATTCATTGATAGAAGACTAAATAACTTAAAATTGATAAAAGACTATAATATAATAGCTTAGCATTAATTGATTATGTTTTATAAATATTATTCGTTGATGTTAGTAATATTCATAGGTAAAAAATAATATTCTCTAGTGTTAATAATATTCACAGGGTAAAAAAGATATAATGAGTTATATATAGAGAAACTATTAAAAAGTTCAGAGATATTCTTCAAAAGGATCTAACTATTTTTATTTTAAATGGAAAAATGAAGGAAATTAACCCAAAATTCATAAAGTTACATAAATCACTTGAATTGTTATTAACAAGAGACATAAAGTTACATAAAGTTACACAAATTTTATACCGTTTATAGGACAAGTCGTACTAATGTTTTTGTTCATAGGACTAGAATATCAGTACGATAATCCTATAGTTAAATGAATAACGAAAGTTCATGATGAAAGACAAAAAGAAAAAAAGTAATAAGTACAATATACATTGCGAGAATGGAAGAGAAAGGGAAAGAAGTGCAGTAAGAAATAAGAAGAATGATTAGAAATTTCTGAGTCAGTGTGCCTCTTGCTGCTCTGGGATTGCCCTCCAATCCGGTATAAAACTATAATGCCAGAGAAAAAAAAAGGATCGTACAATCAAACGGCAAAGATTACCTGCGTCTTTGAATTTACTCAAAAACACTCGTATCATTCCGTTCCATCCAACATAGAAGTAACATGTAGATATCAAGCTCTCAAAGCAAAATATCAGAAACATTAACTCCTATTTACAACCCAATAACATTTCTAGAGGTAGTCACACCTCCATCCACGACAAGATTATGCCCGCTAACATACTTAGCCTCATCACTAACGAGGTACAAAGCAGCTTCAGCCACATCTCTAACAGTCAGTTTGCACCCCTTGAGAGTAGCTACCCCCCTCACAAAATCCTCCATCTTCTCTATCTCATTCTCACTTGGAACTCCAACTGCTCCCTCATCTCTCCAAGCATCAACCAGCATTCTAGTAGCAACACCAAAAGGAGAAATACAGTTAACCCTGATCCCACTGGCGCCGAGCTCACAGGCTACATTTTTAGTAAGCCCGACGATCGCATGCTTAGATGCGGTATATGAATGCGGCCCGAGCCCACCTAAGACTCCGGCCACGCTAGCCATCGACACGATGCATCCGGACCGTTGAAGCACCATCGCCCGTGCCCCGTGCTTCATGCAGAGCGCAGATCCCCGCACGTTTACCTGCATTACACGGTCGAACTCGTCGGCATCGAGCTTGGTTATGGATTTGTCGCCAGGGGTCTGGCAACCGAGCACGCCTGCAATGTTGCAAAGGATGTCGAGCTTGTGATGACGGGAGAGAGCGAGTTTGATGAGGTGTTCTATGTCGGGTTCTCGGGTGACGTCACAGTGGACGAAGGTGGTAGAGTGGGGGAGGGAAGCAGCAAGGGATTCTCCGGCAGTGTCGTCGATGTCGGCAATGATGACGACGGCACCGT